TTACCTTTCAGTTATAAGCACCAGTCTCTCCCTCTCATTGTTCCAGTGGTCAACTCTGTAGAAATGGACAAATATGCCAGCTACTTTTAGACAGTCACAAAGAACAATTTGAAACCAGGCCTAAAACATTTCTCATTTACTGAGTTGCATGGTTAAATAAAAGGTAAATATATAAAACTTCAAGGTGAGGAGGAATAAGTATCAAGTCTTTGGCACCCATTTGTTTTCATGTAGCACACAAATATGTGGGTAAGCAACTAGAGGGAAAACAATATCCTAAAAAAACATCTCATTGTTAAACATTCAGTCTGTAGCCTTAATAAATCTCCAGCTGACGTGTCTGTATGTGTATGTACTTGTTTGTAAACCCTGCAGTGCACACAGCAGCTCATTCAAACAGTTGCCTCATATTTCAGGCAGATAATAAAACAGTCGCATGCTGCTGGGATACTTACTCAGCTAGCAGCCACACGCTGAGCACTTCTCCATCCTCGGAAGGCAGAGCCACAGTCCTGATGTCGCTCACGGCCTGCTCAATGGTACCTGGCTGAGATCAGCATCACACAACCGTCAATCGTCAGCATCATCTCAGACATGCCCCTGTCCCATTCCTTCCTGTAATACTCTGTGGGAGCTTCTGCAATGCACTGCTACTTAAGCGTGGTAAATCAGTGGTCGTGTTTGTTTACCACAAGCACCTTTAAGAGCATTAGTGTAGTTAAGGGGGTTATTTTGAAGGGACACACGCATAGTCTCGGCCTTGATGCCGACTAACGCAAGCTGTGATCTATTATGCAGCAACTTACCCTGAACACGAAATAGTCCTTCACTTTGGCTTTGATTGTGGGGTTATGCACATGAAAAGGCGTCAGGGTTTGTAACGGGGGGCAGCAGGCAACGGAGGCTCCGTGTCCGAGGCTTCTTCCGGCCTCCGGCGGCGTGAAGGCAACCTCGACTCCCTCCTCTGTTTCTGCAGGGTGGAGAATCGCAGCGCCCGTACTCTCCGGCTCCATCGTGTCGTTCAGCTGAAGCATCGTGACAGCAACAGACGCTGAGCGGGGAGCGTCCGGACAAGGTGCGCCAAGCGTTAAATTAGAAAACGTCCTTTGGAGGGTGCAGACTCACCCATTGCGCATGTAGGCTATAATGTTTTGATTCTGAGGGCTGGGAGGAAGTAGTGCCCTCCTGCTTCACTTCCCCTTTTTAATTTCCTTCCTCTTAAAGGGACATAATGTTTTTAACCGAGCTCCATAAACAGGAGTTTAGAGTTGATGAGCCCACTTTTCATAATTATCTGTTGTATGATTACTACAACTATAATAATCTGAAGTCGGCTGTAATGGTAATAATAGTTTGCTTGTAATCGAAAGTCTAGCATTTGGACGATGGACAGATAAATAATATAATTTCTCATGATGCAAGGGAAACAGCATTTATGAAAATTCAGTGAGTTTAATAGCAAGTATTGGTTGAAGTAGTGGAGTGGAAGTAAGATGTCAAGTGTGTTATTCTGCACCATATACTTCAGAAAGCAGTGACACATAAACTCAGAATTAGGTTTAGTGCTGTATGTTATTAGGATGTTTTTCATGTAAACACAGACTGAAAACAAAAAAGATTCCTTCATTCACACCATGTTTGCAAAGTGGCTTGACCACATTCAGAATCAGATTCAGAATAAGCTTTTTGGCCAACTGTGTATACAAGGAATGTGATTCCAGTTTCCCGTTGCTCTCAATGTTACACACTTCCAAGAAAAGTTTTCAGGGAGATGGACAGAAATAGACATACAGCAAAAAACAAGTAGGCTACAACAAAGCTGTACAAAGATAAGTGAATAAGTGAAAACAAACATTTAGCTATAATATGCATCGAAGTAGAGATAAAAAAATAGAGACATATATATATATATATATATATATATATATACATATACATATACATATATATACATACATATACATACATATACATATATACATACATACATATATACATACATATACATATATATACACATATATACATATATACATATATATACACATATACATATATACATATATATATATATATATGTATATACATATATATACATATGTATATATGTATGTATATATACATATATATACATATATATATATATATACATATATATATATATACATATATACATATATATATATATATATACATATATCCATACATATATACACATATATATATATACATATATACATACATATATATATATACATATATATGTGTAATTTTAGTAGTGTAGGTTATCAAAAGTTAAAATCAGTGTTTAAAACCCCCTCATGACTGATGAATTAATGATTTTATTTGATGATTGAAAACACACAAAACACTGCACTGCAGTTATTACATACATTAAAAATAAATCGCACATGTGTTAAAACAACCAGACAGCAAGTGAAGACAACACAATAAACATATATATGTATTTATATACTCAAATGATAAAACTGGCAGATTCTAGATCCATATATTTGTCATCCTCATTGAAATTTAAGAGTGTAATCAGTGAAAAACTTGATATCAAAAAAACACTGAAGGTGTAGTAAAAAAATATTATCATCCCTACCTCTATTCAGATAGAGACCTCCCTTAGGTTGTCAATTGAGATAAGCCAAGACTTACCAGAAACCCATGTTAGATGAGTAATAAAGAGCATTTTTCTCTCTTTCTCTCTTTTTACATCCTCAATAAATCCAGCAAAAAAGTCCTTTGAAGAGCAACAACATGATACAGAAACATCCACTGGCAGGCAGCAGCAGTCATGTGTACAGTTTATGTGATCTTTACCACAGACTCATTTTTCCTGACACATTGAGATACTGAGTATAAACTGTGTCTTGCAAAACCAAAGAAGTGCTAAACTAGTAATTTCATTCACACCTGTAACAACAGCAATTTAAAATTTGAATGTTAAAGTTTAGCAACCTAATCTTTGAAAGGCAAATTACAAACATCTCAAAAGAAATTAAGCATAACCTACTCATTTCAAATTTACAAGAAATCTAATAAAACAGATGCAGCAAACTTCACATGCACTCAGTGATACTGCCAGACTTCCTGTTCTGTATTACAACCTGGTCTCAGACAAATAGTACATACATACATACATACATAATTTCTATAAGTAAGCACTGACGGTAACGGAAATTCGTATCACCATTGCAGTATAGTTAAAAAGCACCATCTTTTGACCAATGGGACCAACTAATATTCATTCATTATATAAGATCACTCACAATCTTGGGCCACCATCTCTTAAACAATTTGTAACAATCTATAGCGGTGGCTCAAGGTTAACAAGAGCCTCCTTTAGAGGGGACTTCTGTGTTAAATTTCGTTCCACAAAGGTTGATCACACCTTTTCAGTTCAGGCAGCGAAGACTGTGTGGAACTATCAGTTACGGAATAATGAGGCCAGTGGATGTTTCTGTAACATTATGTTGTTGCTCTTCAAAAGCAATACTTTATTACCCTGCTGTATTTATTGAGGAAGCAACGATAGTAAAATGTTCTTAGTTACTGATCTAACTTGGGTTCTGATAAGTCTTTATTTCAGCCAATTAACAACCTGAGGGAGGTCACTCTATCTGACAATTCCATCAATGTTTAAACTGGTAGGGATGATGTGGTTTTTTTTGTTTGCTACTCCTTCAATGACTTCATGACTATCAAGTTATTCAATGTTTACACTAGAATACAAATTTTAGTATGATGACAATTGTCTATATAGTACAGTCCCTGAAATTACCTAGACATACACAGCAGTGTGAATTTAGGTAGAAGGTAAATTGATTTTAGGATAGAGGACTACATTGCAACGTCCAGGTACTAATAGATCATTTAAGTCTGTGTGCTGTGTCTTCAGTATTGTTTTCCAGATGACATGCACAAAGTAATAAGTGTTACCTAATGGATCGTCTGCAAATGTCTCCTATAACAATTTCTGGTAATGATTGATCAGCATAAGACACTATTTAAGGCTGGAGTTAACACAGAAACTACAAAATAGAACTGCATAGACTGCCACTTTCAGAATGTGTCTTCCACTCTTGCTCCTGATCTGCTCTCTCTCCACAGCTCAACTCCTTCAAACAGAGTCTGACAGCGAAATTCTTCCGCATGGAAAGCAAACTTAATCCATGGGAAGAGAACCAGCAAAGACTTCAGACCACCAACAGACCTGTACACAAGATATCCATGCTGTGCTGAGAGAGATGAGCGCCTCCTTGGCTGAACAGAGGGTGTAGATCAGGCACTTACAGAGAGAGAATGAAGGTACAGTATGAAAGGTAATCCGGGAAGTAATAGAAATAGCAACCATTTTTTTGTTACAGGAGCTTTTTGTATAATGTTGTAACACTGAACTATTTTGCAGTATTACACTTACAGGTAATGATGAGTCAAAGATAAACTTCAATGGAACTATGTTTCAACACACACACCACATGTCAGGTTAGCAACAGCAACAACAGCTTTTCAGTCTAAAACATGTCTTATTCTACTTTTAACTACTTTTATTTCCCATTTACATTTCCCATGTCTTATGATGTCATACAACTTCCTACACAAATGAAGGACCGAAACAAAACAAGACTAGTTTGGCATGCTAGCATGCTATGTTATGCTAATTAGCGCAAACACAAGGTGCAGTAGGCTGATGGGGGCAACTGTTGTTTTGGTTATAAACCAGACTATCAGGCTAACTATGACATTGACCTGATGGTGACCTAGATGAAAAATTAAGATGCCCCAGAAGTTTTAATTCATCCAAAGGAGAACATGAATGTCAGTACCATGTCAATTGTTAAGACATTTTCAGAAGATCAGCAAAGTTATTACAATTCATTCTGTGGGGAACATGTATCTCTAACATGTATCTATCATGGTGATCCATCCAGTAGTTTTCAAAACATTTCACTAAACTAAAATGTCCTGCTGGTGGCAGTAAAGTCATAAAGATGTGTCCTCTGGTGATGACAGATGTCTGTACAAAATTTCATCCATCCAATAGTTGTCCAAGATATTTCAGTCTGGGCCAAAGTCAAGGACTGACTGAATAATCAGCATGCCCATCTCCAGACTTGTGCAGCTAGCATAGCTAAAAAAGCAACTCAATAATTTACAGGAGCTTTTGTGTTGTTTGTTGAATCGAGAAGTATGTCCTATTATTCACTTGTATTGGAGCAATTTCCAAGGAAACTGATGGTGCGGTAAAATAAAAACTAACTTAAAGACATTTATTTATTTATTTATTTATTCAAGCACAAGCAGCTAAACTGAGAGAACTGGAGCTACAGAAGACTGAGGTGGACAAGCTAAAGCAACAACTTCAAGGTATTTTGTGGAGAAAATCCTGGCTCTGATAATGTTTAATTAAAGTAACATTATAGTATATCATAAGCGAGTATGAGTAAGTAAATGGAAACTACGGAAGCCCTAAGCGGCCATCCATTCAAATATTTTTTTACTCCGTTTCCCCTGTAGCTAGTTAGCTTTGTTAGCCGGGAAGCTAGCTGTCCTAACAGATTCAGCCCCGGGGTGCCTAGAGCCAAACCCAGCAAGAAAACCACCTCGGTCCTGTATTCCCTGTCGTTAAACTGGCCTCTGCTGGTCTCGGAGGCTGTGTTAGGTCCCAGTCTGGCCGTAGTGTTCACTCAGTGAGAGCTGAACCAGTCTGCACAGAGTCTGCATGACATGGTGGGGGGGCGTAATGCACATTCAGCGCTATTGGCTACTATAAACGACAATATCTGCAAGTCCTTCCCTGTGGATGTGTTTTCATGCAGAAGCAAACAGCATATTCATGAGAAAATCACATCAAAAAATGTATATTAAAATGTTATAAGAACAAAATGAATCAGTTATTTGTTGTGAGAATGAATCATTAGGCTACATTGTATACGATTTAATAAAGTTAGGCCTATGTTATTTTTCCAATAACTTGCTAGATCAAACCCACAACTCCAAGAGTGAGCATTGTGTCCTCTACCAACTGAACCAGTCACACTGAAATTTCTACTGAAATTATCATTAAACTATTGTGTTAAACTATTGTTTTGTTATCTCGAGATTACAAGAAAATGATCCCATTATCACAGAAAAAAGGAGTAAAACAAATGTTTGAATCAATGGCTGCTTAGAGCTCCCATAGGAAACACAAATCAGGACAATAAAACTTTGTTTGAGTAGACATTAAGATCAAGAAATGACTTACTATTCAAGAACATTGAACCATGTGCAACATTAGGCCCCATCCACACTACTGCGTTTTCTAATTAAAATAGAGACCTTTTGCTACATTTGCACCTCCCATCCAGACTACAACGGCAAAAACGAAGACCTAAAACGGAGAAGTTTAGAAACGCTGCCGAATCCCGTTTTGCGTTTCAAAACTCTGGAGGGCGTTTTAGTGAAGACGGGCCAAAACGGATGACTTTAGAAACGATGACACAGCACCAGCACGCCATGCCCAGTGTACCTGAACGGCCAATAGATGTGCGTTTTCAGTCGTTTTAATGTAGACGGAGAACAATTCCAAAGCGCAGCTAAAACAAACAACAAACCTTTATAAAGACAGCTATGACAAAATACTTGTTACTATCAAATATTGGTTTTATCAGAGACAAATATGTCATGATGTTACTTTTATTTACAGCACAAGCAGCAGAGCTGATAAGTGTGAAAACAAGATCAAACATCACAGAAAACCAGGTAGAGGCCCTAAAGAGAGACGGAGAAGGTAAGGCTGAAAACTGAAATATCATTCTAAAAAATATCTTCATAATTAAAATACTTAATCAAAATGTGGATTATAGCACAAAAATACAGAAGATTTCAAAAAGTTGGTCACACCACTGTATCCACAGTAATTCTTTTTACAATAACGTTTCTCTCTCTCGCTCTCTCTCTCAGTCAAACAGGTAGCTTTCTCAGCCTCTCTGTTGGCTTCAGGCTCAGGAACTGTTGGACCATTCAACACATTCACTCCTCTGGTCTTCAGACACGTTGCCACAAACATTGGAAATGCCTACAACCCAAACACAGGTACTCAAATTCACAAATTTAAATATTTTATTTGACATTTTAACTGTATTTTCTTAAAATTAGTTGATGATTCTCCATGGACATTCACTGGCAAAAATGTCCTACAGGTTTCTTCATTGCACCAGTGAGAGGAGCCTACCACTTTGAGTTCTACATAGTTGCACATGGACATGCTTCACATCCTTCAGGTGCTGTGTTGGTGAAGAACGGACAGCATGTTTTTATTGCATATGAGCATCAGCCATCCCATTATGGAACTTCTGCTAATGGCGTCACGCTGCTTCTAGAGGTCGGAGATGTTGTGTTTTTACGTCTGTGGGTTAACACAAGGAAGGAAGTTTATCTAATGGATCGTCTGCACATGTCTCCTTTATCAATTTCTGGTAATGATTGATCAGCATAAGACACTATTTAAGACTGGAGTTAACACAGAAACTACAAAGTAGAACTGCATAGACTGCCACTTTGAGAATGGAGCTGACAATGTATTTTCCACTGTTGTTCCTGATGTGCTTTCTCTCCACAGCTCAGCTCCTTCAAACAGAGTCTGACAATGATATTATTCCGCGTGGAAAGCAAACTGAATCCCTGGGAAGAGAACCAGCAAATGCTTCTGACCACCAACAGACCTGTACACAAGAAATCCATGCTGTGCTGAAAGAGATGAGCGCCTCGTTGGCTGAACAGAGGGTGGAGATGAGGCACTTACAGAGAGAGAATGAAGGTACAGTATGAAAGGTATTCTGGAAATTAACAGCAATAGGAACACTTGCTTTGTTACAGGAGGGTTTTCTATAATGCTGTAACACTGAACTATTTTGCAGTATTACACTTACAGGTAATGATGAATCAAAGAGAAACTTCAGTGGAACCTTATGTTTCAACACACACACAATGTGACAGATTAACAACAGCAACAACACCTTTTCAGTCTAAAACAAGTATTTTTAACTCTTTCTTTAACTTCTCAACTATGGCAAGCAACTGAGGTCATGTTAGAACATGTTCCACAATATGATTTCCCATTTACTGTCTTATAATGTCATACAACTTCGTAGGCTACACAAATGAAGGATAGAAACAAAACAAGACTAGTTTGGCATGCTATCATGCGCTAATTAGCACTAACGCAAGGTGCAGGCTGATCGGGGCAACTGTAGTTTTACCCAATATTGGCCTGGATGAAACATTAAGATATCACAGAATTTACAGTTCTTCATGAGGAGAACTTGAATGTCCTAAATTTCTTGACTCTCATTGTAGAGTCATTAAAAGGTTCATGAAACAACAAAGATCCACCTTGTTTTGGTGTTCCATGGTGTAAACTAAAAACCAACATATTGGCATTTATTTATTTATTCAAGCACAAGCAAGTAAACTGAGAGAACTGGAGTTACAGAAGACTGAGGTGGAGAGGCAGAAGACTGAGCTGGAAAAGCTAAAGCAACAACTTCAAGGTATTTTGTGGAGAACATCATTGCTCTGATAATGTTTAATGAAAGTAACATATTATAGTGTATCATAAGCTCAAATGGAAAAAGTTCAGGACAATAAAACCTTGTTAGAGTAGACATATTACAAGAAATACTTGTACTAGTCAAGAACATTGAGCCATAATCAACCACATTATAAGTGTTTTTCTAATATAATATCTAAGTGTTCAATGGCCAAACAAACCTTTATAAAGACAACCATGATAAAATAATTTTTTAATCAGATACAAATGTCATGTTGTTACTTTTGTTTACAGCACAATCAGCAGTGCTGATCACCATGAAAGAAAGATCAAACATCACAGAAAACCAGGTAGAGGCCCTAAAGAGAGACGGAGAAGGTAAGGCTCAAAACTAAATCATTCTAAAAAATATCTTCGTAATTAAAACTTTTTCCTAAAATGGTGAATAGCACAGAATATTTTCAAAATTTGGTAACATTGCTGTATAACCAGTAATTTTACAACAATAACTCTCTCTCTCTCTCTCTCTCTCTCTCTCTCTCTCTCTCTCTCTCTCTCTCTCTCTCTCTCTCTCTCTCTCTCTCTCTCTCTCTCAGTCAAACAGGTAGCTTTCTCAGCCTCTCTGTTGGCTTCAGGTGAAGGAACTGTTGGACCATTCAACACACACACTCCTCTGGTCTTCAGACACATTGTCACAAACGCCGGAAATGCCTACAACCCAAACACAGGTACTCAAATTTGCAAGTTTAAATATTTTATTTGAAGTTTTATTTGTGTTGACTTAAAATTAGTTGACAGATTATTCCTCATTTACATTCACTGGCAAAAATGTCCTACAGGTTTCTTCATTGCACCAGTGAGAGGAGCCTACCACTTTGAGTTCTACATAGGTGCACATGGACATGCTTCACATGCTTCAGGTGCTGTGTTGGTGAAGAACGGACAGCATGTTTTTATTGCATATGAGCATCAGCCATCCCATTATGGAACTTCTGCTAATGGCGTCACGCTGCTTCTAGAGGTCGGAGATGTTGTGTTTTTACGTCTGTGGGTTAACACAAGGATATTTGACAATGGAAATCACCATAGCACCTTCAGTGGACATCTGCTTTTCACCATGTGAGAGGGAAACAATCTTTCTGTTTCTTTAGCTATATGATAGCCTTTCACACACTGCAGCAGTGTATAAGTGTGTGTTGATAAAAGTGTCTTTTTCCTTTATATGAAGCTGATTGACAACACTGGGACATAACAACAGTAATAGTTTAGATAGTAATAGTAAAGAAAAGGTTCATGAAATTTCATCTCTTTCTGGAGCTGTATCAAAATACTCAATAATAGACAATGGTGGGATACTTTTGCAAGTTTTTTGAACATTAGATTAAGGAAATGCACTAATTCATGAGGAAATTGTGGAAATGTTCAAAAATCTCTTGATTTCTGTTACAATTTTTAAAGAAGAAAATAAAAATCCTTTTTTTATTATATTCAGTCTATGGTTTTTTGTTTTTTTCACCTGAATCCAGATCAGCATCGGAAACTTTTTGCTTACTCCTTGGACCACAGCATCCAACCAAACCATCTCACCTTTACTGTCTGATTTTTTTTACACAGTTTCATACTTTGTTCTATAGAAACTTGAATGGTCTTGTGTTGTTCATGTGAGAGTGAAATTCCTTAGAATGCATGACACAGTAGCTTTGCGTTTTTTATTTAAGTAAGTACCATGACAAACAGCAGTACTGTGTACGTACCTGCAAATAAAAGTCTAATTTACAGTATTTATCCTGTATATGAAAAACCCGTGATGATGCTGGAACTTCCCAGAAAAAATAATTTGTACATTTTAAGTTTATTATATGATTGGATTAATCTTCTTTAAATGTAATTTTTCTTCCACTCATGGTAAATTTAGTTTAAAAATGAAATATTATTATTATAAAATATAATTAATTTGTCATATTTGTGTTTGGCAGTAGGAAATGTAAGATTCACCAAAAATGTATTTTTATGGTTAAACAAAGGTCCTCAAACATAAATTGTGCTTTACTTTACTCACAGTGAGTAAATGTGATTTAAACTGACTGTGTGGTTAATGAGATTATAGTTCATATTATTCAATACAAACAGTAGTTGTGTTTGGATCTCTACTTTTATAACTTTAATGTTCCTGTAATATTTCTTTCTGCCTGTTCATTCACTTTCAAATTTTAAATAGCTGTTGTCACAAGTGTTGATGAGATTACAAACTCAACACAGTCACCTTGATCCACTTTCAGTTGAGAAGCTCTACATTTTATGGCTTGGCACTTGTCTTTGGTTTTGGGAGGCACTTGTTGATATCCGTCAGGAAGAATGAGGCTGTGGTGAAGATCATATAAACTGCACACATAACTGCTGCTGCCTGCCCGTGGATGTTTCTGTAACATTATGTTGTTGCTCTTCAAAAGCAATACTTTATAAGTCTGCTGGATTTATTGAGGAAGAGAGAAAAATGTTTCTTTATTTCTCATCTAACTTGGGTTTCTGACAAGTCTTTTATCTCAGCCAATTAACAACCTGAGGGAGGTCCCTCCATTTAAACAGGTAGGGATGATATTTTTTGTTTACTTCTCCTTCAAGGACTTTAATGACTATTGAGTTATTAATTTTTTATGCTCTTAAATTTTAGTGAGGATGACAATTATATCTATCTAGCACTGTATTTCCTAGAACCTGCCAACGTTATCAGCCATGAGGTGATTTTAAACATAGATTTAACTCTTGATAATTCACATTGTAATAATTAAAATGTGTTTGCAACTCCTAAAATTACACATTGAGATTTCCTAGACATACATAGCAGTGAAAATATAGGTAGTAGGTTAACTGATTATGGGATAGAGGACTAGTCCCGTCTTGTACTCTTTCTTTAATTTCTCAGCTACAGCAAGCAACTGAGGCCATGTTAGAATATGTCCCACAATATGATTTCCCATTTACTGTTTTATATACTAAATACTGAAGCCCTAAGCAGCCATCCATTCTGTGATAACGGGATAATTTTCTTGTGATCTCCAGATAACAAACCATACCTGAATACAAGAGTCAGTACGTATGTTTTTTCACAATAATTTCATACAAATTGTCAGTGTGACTGATTAGCTCAGTTGCTAGAGCATTGGGCTTGTAATCCAGGGATTGTGTGTTTGACTTCTGCGTGCAATGATTTTTTTTTCTTCTTTTGTGTGTGTTTTTTATTATCCTCTTCAACAAAGTTGTTATTAAAAAAATTCAGGTGAATCCAATCACACATTTCCTGACGGCTATTTCCCCTGAATGAGAAGCACAGGAATATCCTCTGCCTGTGAATGATGGGGAAAAAGTTCACAGGTTGATGGATGTGGACCAATCGCTGTGATGCACACAGTCCAGCAACAGTTACTTCATAAAAACTTTGTTGAAGAGGATTATGTGAAGATTTTTTTTAAAAGTTGGTCTAATGTGAGGACCAAACACACAATCCTGCAATTCTGAGTCCTACACTCTACCAACAGAGCTAACCAGAGACATTGAAAATCATATGGAAATTACCGTTCAGAAATGTTCGAACGACCGCTGTGTTAAACTACTGTTTTGTTATCTCAAGATCATGAGAGAATTGTCCCGTTATCACGGGAAAACATTTGAATGGATGGCTTAGGGCTTCCGTATTATAATGTCTTACAACTTGATACACACTAACATGAAGTGCAGCTGAGGCTGATGGGAAAACAGTAGTTTCGGTTATAAAAATGTCACAGGACCAGTAAAGTTATCCTGAGGGGATGTCTATAATGGTCATCCATACAGTAGTAGTCACAACCCTGCCTCTCCATGATATTTCAGTCAGGGCCAAAGTGGAGGACCGACTGAATAATCATGATTTCCATCCCTAGACTCATGCAGCTAGCATGGCTAAAAAAGAACTCGCTTTTGTGTTGTTTGTTGAATCTGAGAGCACTTCCTATTGCTCAACTGTGTTGGAGCAATTTTAAAGGAAATTGATGATGCAGTAAAATAATAGTAGTAATAAATCATAGTCAAAACTTACAGGCATTGTTTATTATGTTTTCAAGCACAAGCAGCTAAACTGAGGGAAATGGAGCTGCAGAAGACTGAGCTGGACAAGCTAAAGCAACAACTTCAAGGTAGGCCTACTGTGTGGAGATCATTCTTGCCTTGATATTGTATAAACAATGACAACAATGTATCACATTAAAAACAAAAACAATAAAAGTTTTTACAAATATGTTGCATAAGACTATTTCTTTATATTATTTATATTATTTTAAGCACAAACAGCTAAACTGAATGAATTGGAGTTACAGAAAACTGAGGTGGGCAACCTAAAGCAACAACTTCAAGGTAATGTTTGGAGAACATCGTGGTTCTGATAATGAAAGTAATTTAATAATAGTCTCATCAGAGACAAATATGTAATGATGTCACTTTTTTCAAGCACAAGCAGCAGAGCTGATCACCGTGAAAGCCAGGTCAAATGTCACAGAATACCAAGTTGGGACTCTAAAGAGAGACGGAGAAGGTAAGAAATAAAACTAAACTATTTTATGTTTGAAGAGTTTCATTCTAAAAATATGTTCATCATAGCTGAAATGGTGTATAGCACAAAAAGACAGAACATTTTTGTCATATTGCTGTATCCCAACAAATTAAGATCAATGACATTGCGCTCTCTCTCTCTCTCTCTCTCTCTCTCTCTCTCTCAGTCAAACAGGTAGCTTTCTGTGTTTTTATGTCTGTGGCAGGATATTTGACAATGGAAATCACCATAACACCTTCAGTGGACATCTGCTTTTTCACCATGTGAGAGGGAAACAATCTTTCTATTTCTTTAGCTATATGATAGCCATGCACACACTGTAGCAGTGCACCCGTACTTATTGATAAAATTTCATCATAAATATTTATTGTCATTAAAAATCTTTCATTCTGGAGCCACGTGTTCACAGATTTTAAAGGAGCTGTACATTTGCTGCCACTAAATGTCAAACTAGAGCACCAGCATCTAAGAACAATCTTGCAATCATTGTCAAACATACTTCACTCAAACTGGACAGAAACAAAATTAAACTTTTTGAGTCTTTCCACAACAATAATCAACCATGTTAGATGAGAAAAGAAACCGTCTGTTATAACACTCTCCTCACAGATGAACAGTTTCACGCAGAGGGACTCTGGCTGTAAAAACTAAGCATAGAGAGGCTGGGATAACAACACAGGCAGAAGGAGTGTGAAGTCACTCTTTGCTCAGGATGCCATTAGTCTACTAAATCTTTACATAGCAAATAGCTGAGCTTTTCAGAATCCCAAATGCAGAACCTTTGAGTAGGCTACATAATTATTCTAATTTTAATCTTTTACATTTGAATAAAAGCATCATGATGTCGGAAAAGATTCTTTAACACATGATCATTTAAAAATAGAAATATCAGTCTCTTATTGTTAGTATAAAAAAAAAAGTCATAGCTGTTTAACATTCATTGTACTTCTATTAAATATATTCATTAGATATGTTTTAAACTGGCTATGTGGTAGCTCTAGTCATTCATCAGAATATGGTAACAATATTATTTATACACATAGTAGTTGCATTTCAATGTCCAATTTTTATAACTTTAATGTTATTTAATTCTGCCTGTTCTTACACATTCTAATTTTAATTTAATTTTCAGGGTCTTGTGATGCTTTCACATGCTCATTATAAATACATACTTAACTTCTGTGATCTGGTGTTTTAGGCTATGCCTTCTCTGCATTCACATATTGTATTAGTCTGCTTCTTCATTTTAATACTTTGTGTAATAGTGTCAGTGGGTATACTGACCAAAAAAAGAGTAGAAAGAAATAGTTTTGGTATTGAACTAGTTAATGTCTGCACACATATGTTTGAAGATATGTTGTTATGCAAATTCATTTTGTATGTAAACTGTTGTTACATGTATGTGGTTCATTTAAGTTAAATCTACACGGAACTTATGAAACACTGGAACCTAATTTAACAATCTTTATATAATTGTGTAAAAAGTTAGTTTAATGTTTGAACAAATAGTTGTTAATTGAGACTGTTAATGTAATTGTCCCCTAAGTAAATGGTGTTTTGTTTGACGCATGGTATTGTGACCACTTCTCTGATTTGTTCAGGGATTCAAAAGTGTAGGTTCGTTTTCTGATGGCGGACACTATTAAACCTGCAACAGGTGATTTTTTTTGGCCACTTGGGGGTGGAAACAACTTGTTGACATATCGCCTTTCGAGTTGATGGCGAACTTGTTAACAAACACAACTTACACATTCAGCAGTTACAGAACATTCAGACTCAAAGCTGTGTTTTTGGTTTCTCCTGAGGAAAATATCTGGTTCTTCAGCTGCTAATTGGTTATGCCACTATGGTCACTTATTGTGGTTGTATATTGTTTTGCAAGGCAGGAAGCGTACAGTGGGTTTTTAGAGCTATGGAAGTGTTGAGCATACAGCTGGGAAGCTAAGCAATAAACTGAAACTCAATATAAAGCTGAGGGAAGGTAATCTCTACGAGCAATCCTTTTACATTGTTATATTGTTCTCACATTGTCAGTGGATATATATGTAATTATAAAAATATCAACTATAGCCACTTTAAGTAATAGCCTGCAATAATATGCATCTGCTAAGTCTATCACAAATTACAATGGTTATCGTGTAATCCATAATAATGGTAGTACAGTACAAACAAAACACAAATAAAATAAAATAAATAACTAGAAAAAAATGCTATGTGAACCTCTTTCAACATGATTAGCACCCTGCTTAAGTCATGTTTTTGTTGATAGAGCCCTGATCCTTATATATAATGTTGTATTTTCACAGTTAGATATGCACTGTGCTTTATTACCTTACCTTTGACCGATGTTCGTTCTTCTTGTTTTTGGGAGTATATTAATACTAAATCCTCCTCTCAGATGCCATGTAGCCCCTACAACCTCCTCCTGTCAGGTAGGGCAGTCTGTATGTAGCCTCAGATGCAAGACCCAGGGCCAAAGTCCCTGCCACACCATTGGCAGCTGCCCTCAATTTTGCTGCTCTGAGAAGGCTCACAATAATAACTGAAAGCTCATCAAGCGCCTCTCTTCTCTCATTTACATCATGGTGGCTGAGCATTAAAAGGGCAGGATGTTGGTATGAAAATCAATCTCTAACCATAAAAGTGAGGGATCATATGCCCCTACCCTATCCCCAGGGGGTTAGGGTTAGGCCTGAGTGATGAGGAGCATTGGTGTAGCACAAAACTCTGGACTGTACATATCCTCCACTGCTGTCTCCACAGACACAAGACCAGAGCCCAATGCTTTGTATCTAATTTGCATTCATTGACTGTGTGTGATTTGTAGATTTTGTAGGGTAGTGGTCGGCAATAGGTGGCTGCTCACCTGCATCTGCACTCAACCTTATCCTGACACTTGCATGAACAGAAGAATAAAACTTCACATGCAGTTCACAAAGACTTGCAACTCGACTTTGACTTTAACTTTAACACAAATGACTCCTGATTTCACTTGAGCCTTTTGACTCCAACTGACTTGATAACCCCCCAAGCCCAAATCTAAATTATGATATTAAAAAAAAATGTGTGCTGCACACGGGCAACACACTGGTGCAGTGGTTAGTGCTGTCACCTGACAGCATGAAGGTTGTGGATTCAAACCCCAGCCTTTCTGTGTGCACTTTGCATGTTATCCCTGTCTGTGTGGGTTCTCTCTGGGTGCTCTGGCTTCCTCCACTGCCAATACAATAGGTTAATTGGTGACCCGAAATTGTCCTTAGGTGTGAGTGTGACTGGTTGTTTGTCTATGTGTGGCCCTGCGATGGAATGGTGACCTGTCCAGGGTGTACCCTCCCTTTTGCCCGATGTCAGCTGGGATTGGTGCTAAGACTTCAGACTTACTTGTGACTTCTAAAACAATCACTTGGTCCCACCTCTGCTGTAAACTTGGAGGCCACAAAGGTTAGCATCTCAAATACAGACTGGTTACTATAGGACCCTTCAAGTTTAGTTTGTACAGTGTCAAAGAAAATATTTATAAGGTCTGACACCTTACTGTCCCTCCACATCGCTGCTGTCCTACATGTTTCCATTCACTGTGGCCCCCGCTAGTGCACCATTGCAACGAGGTCAGAGTCCCATGAATTCACAATAATATTAACACACCTTTTATCTAGCTCTATCATTATTCTCTCTCCTCTTTTTCTACCCTTTCACCATGTCAGTGGGTAATATAGAATGATTTAACACCTGCTCAGAAATGGTGTACATTTTCAGTTGTATCTTTACTCTACATTGTGACGCAACCCATTTTAATAGGTTATAGCTATGTGGTTATTTTGGATGTGGCTGTAAATGTCACAGAAACAGAAAAGCAGCATATCGTCAAATTTGAGAAGCTGGAACTAGGAAATGCTTGTAAGTTTTGCTTGATAAATGACTTAAACAATTAATCGACTTATTGTTTGAACTTTAGCTGATCCTATATGATAAATAATGATAGGGAAAATACTTTAACAGATTCACTTATAGCTTACAAATACACAGTGGACAGCTCATTTAAAAAGCACACAGGTTTTATTGCATATCAATTTCATGTATAAATTCTTCATAGCATTGGAAAGATTACATTTGGTATACATTGCTATTCTACAGAATTAACATCAGAGTCATATCTTTTCAATGAAATTTCTCTAAAGTACATCTTCAATAATCACAAGCATCAAAAGAACTGCAATTTCAGAATTGTTCAATATTACTCTACAATCCTTTATTGTTTTTCATTATGTCTTCTCCCACAAGTCTTTTCTATGTCTTTCAGAGCCACCTGTAAGGCAGTCAAGAACTTGAAGTCAAACCTACTAACCTAACCACATGTACAATAAGTGCATCTACGGATTTATTTTTTTCTTTTCTTTTTTTCTCATTTTTTGATTTGATACACATTTCACAAATGGACATCATTATGACTGCTAAACACGTCATGCACAATATCTTTTTTTTGTTTGTTTTCAATAAACATAACAGAGGCGATATACAACTCAGATTCAAACAAAACAAGCACCATCCATTTAAACCCATATTTTTCAATGATTTTTTTCTTCAGACAAATGCATCATTGTTTTTCATTCTTTAAAATACTATACAGTTAAAAAGAAACAATATGTATATTTTTACTATCTCCTGTAACAGTGGGGGGAAAACAGCAACCATGTTCTATCATGCTGAAACATATGTCAGCGACCATCTGCCAGAATACTTTCTGAAGTTGGCAAAATGGAATACTTCAATGCCTTCAATTCCTTTGCTTTACACAGCGCGTACTTATTACAGTAGTCCATGACATGAATTACTACATATAGTCAACTAAAAACTTAGCAACCCAAGTCTTTACATTTTATAACCATGAGTTGGAAAACAATGTGTTTACCATGAATGAAATCTCATTCAGTAGAATTATATAAAAAAAAGACTTCTGTCTTTAGAAAAATGAGATGACACATCAGTCCTAGCATCACACTACCACCTGCTGTGGTGAAGAAAAATTACAGTGCTTCTGTTTCAGATTTTTTTTATTTTATTTCTCCTATTGAGCAGGAGTTGCTCATTTGCTAAAAGTGAAACTAGCCAGAAAATGTATCTGTGTTCTAAGTTCTAGAGACGTAAGCCTGATCAATTTATGGCTTGGACCCATATGGTTAAATTTGAAAATACAGCATCAGGCCTAGTTCTGAAAGTCCCAGTACGCAGGAAGGATCAAGGCAACAATGATCAACAATGCTTACCCCCCCCTGCCTCCTGCAGCTATCTACAGTTATCTACAGTAAATGACTCATGCCCTCCATGGCACAGCTACCTTGTAGAGCTTTCAGTATGATCTCACAAGTAGAACAGGGAATATAAAGTTATACTCATGATCAAGTGTTTCTCTTTTCCCCATCTAGAATCAAGTAGACTCTTGTTTTTTTTACATGTGTTGGAAGGATGGACCAGCAGAATGACAGTGTGTTTTAACACTATCTGTGTTTAGTTGACTCTCTTGTTTTGGTCTCATGAGTCCTTGCCTTATTTCTTGCATGACCAGCAATTTTGTCACTCCAATGCAGTGAAGACCAGATGTTCATGCAGATATGACCGTTTTAGACTTTTGGATTGTGTTATATAGGACAACTAATTTAAAAGAAAATATTCACTGGTTACACTACATGTATCAAATGAAAAACAGAGGGAAAAGGGAGCTTAATGTGGTAGAAACTAGTTAGATTCAATAGTTTGACAATGTAATGCCCCTTTCTGACATTTATAGTGAAAATTGTCCAGGTCTGGACGCCCCCCCATAATATTTGAAGCGATTTGAATAAGATGCATTCAGCATACTGGGTTGAACTGAATAAAAAAAACAACAACTAAACACTGCAGGACGTTACAATGCCAAATAGGATCTAAAACTAACTACAACTATCTTTCACTATAAATAAAACAATTAATTTCATGGGTTCTTTCCATTTTGGCACACTAACGCATCAAAACCAGAGATTCAGAATCTCCCTCGTGTTCTGGTAGGCGTTCATTCCTTCAGCAACAAGAAAAGAGGGATAAAATGACTTTTCTTCATTTTTACTCCTCCAGTCATGACAAAACAACCAAAAATAAATACATACACACACTTCAGAAATCAAATTTATAAGAGCGTAGTAAGAAAAAACAAACAAACTATGACAGCAAAGGCAAGCCCCTTGGAAATGAAATGATTGTCAGAGAACAAAACATTTTCTATGGGTTATTTGGCACATACCACTCTTGCTATGAACATCTAGGTTATTTTGTACATCATATGACAATATCATACAATTTTGGTCCTTCTCTAAAATAATTATATTAACAATTTAGCACGGTGGTGCCTACAAAGAAACAATACTGTGGTATCTAAGAGGAAAGAAACTAAAATAAAATTAACAAATGACGATGAAATAAACAAGCAGAGAAAGACTTTCCTCATTCTTTGAGTATGATTTAAATTCATTTTCAGCATGATCAAATTGGGTAACCAGTTACAACGGCTAGTGTCCCACATAACTCATTAAAATCACCAGTTGCTGTGCACATTTGAACATTGAACATCATTCACCATGTAATCACTCAAAAAAATCAACCAACTACTGGAACTGTCATTTCCTCAAGTAACATTTAGTGTGGTGCTAATGTTGATTCTGCAGTTATAACTGAAACAAGATCAGTAAATGAGTTGCCCATGATTGGTGGCGGAAACCTGGAGACAATAGTGCACGCGCCCACTATGTTCCTAGTGAAACACCACCACCTTGTGGACACTCAGTGCTAATGCAGTGCTGATGCTGCAGTGCTTGTAGTAGGCCGTGTACACAGACTTTAGAGACATACTCGTCATTAAGTGTCTTTAAGAGAGCCTTACGTAGGGTCTCTGTGGTGCTGGGGTGAGCCTTGTGGACTGGAGGAAAAATGCAGAGTGTTAATGCTGTTGAGAAGCATTCATCATGTCCTTCACATCAACAGGAGCTTAGCAGTGCTTTCTCTTTGATAGAGTCTTGCGAGACACCTCACCTATAGGGACAAATTCCCCCTCCTCATTCTCTCTCACACTCACACACAAACACGCGCACACAAATGAACACACATATCCACACAAATATATTCTTTCTATCTTGAATGTATGTGACACTGAATTCTTCTCCGGTCTCCACATATTCTCAATATTCACGTCCAACCAGTCTCTTGTATCTACCCATTTGCAAAACTTATGTTTCTCCTACTCTTCCTCTCTCTCTCTCTTCCTCTCTCTCTCATCTAGATGTGGTTGAGCGGGTGAAAGCTGCTTGTCTCAGACGGTCCACCTCCCATGCTCAGCCAAGCATCCAGAGAGTTCTGGGAGGGCGCGTGCAAAGGGTTGTTCTCTGAGAGAGACAGCATCATTGCATAAGCCTGCGGGAGAAAACAGGTGACTTTTAAAAAGAGGAAACTGTATGGTTAAATGTTTTCAAACACAAATTTTCTCTTGTCCAGTGACCTGTCAGAAAAATAAATGACTATTTTGATCTATTACACCTTAGGTCTAATTTCTGTAGCTTTGGCCATTATTTCTATTAGTAATTATAAGATTGTCTAACTGCTTGGCTTTCTTGCTCCTCTGGCAATGTTGCCATGTTCCCAGACCACTGGTTATTATAATATCAATTGTAATTATGCGTCATTAGAATGTGTTGGGCTGAAGGTCACAGAAGAGATAAGAGCAGTTTATAGGTAATATGTTAGTAGGTTAAGAGAGAGGAAAAGACGTGAGGGGGGCAGGACAAGAGGTGATTTTTAGCTACAGTTTCAGCCACCTTTTCTTTTATCAAGCACCTGAAAATGTGAAAGGATCTCAGCCCTTTATCTATTTATGCACAGGACACACTTTGCCCTTCCTCCTGTCTTATCAGAACAAGTCTATTCTGTCCCTCCCTCTTTTAGAGGACATCCAAAAGCCAGTCACATACCTGGGTTTTAGCCTGCCTGTACAATGTCTCTTTCAATGCCTCCGACTCTAGCGAAGTGTTAAATATGTCTTTAACATCAAAGGGTTGCTCTTCACTGGCTGCTTTACGTAACCCCTCCAGGCTCTTGGGAAAGCTGGGCAGACCCTCCAGGTCCAAGAGAGACCCCTGCTCCTCTATACACCTGCACACCGATGGATGGATGGATGGATGGATGGCAGAAATAGGGCAGTATTGAATGGTGGATTGGTGGATGAATGGATGAGTAAATGGATGTAAAGATGGACATAGGAGATAGAGGGAAAGTGATTGTAATGGAGGTGGGATTGAAATTTAAAGGAGGAAGTTTAGGTGAAAGATAACATGAAGAGAAGAGAAAAGGAGAGGTACGATTAATAAAAGGACAGGCAGAGGGAATAAATTTGGAAAGGAAAAAGGAGAGAAGAGTAGGAGAAGCTGACCCCACATTTGCTAAACTTAAACTGAGTTTTGGGTATCTGTGAAGGGAATCTAAATATTCAGTTTATGTTTTCCTTCTGTCCATCCTTCTTAGGGTGTAGCCTTGTTTTAGTACTGACATTAGTTACAATAAAAGAATCTATAAAGGGCTTAAACATAAATAGATGTTTGTCTATAGAAACAATATATGGTGTACAATTGCTGTGGTTGTTGAATTTAGATTCATGTAAAGAGTCCATGAACCCTCAACTTATGCGGCTTTCTATAGTTAACGAAATGAATACCTGCGAGTGTGTTCATAGCTCATAGCTAAAGGAGCCGTCTCCGTCTCTTCCTCCTCCTCGTCCTCCTCATACACTCCTGTTGTGACGGGACTCGGGGACTCGGGCGCCTCGTCGTGAGACTTCTCTGTCAGGCTGCCTTCCTCCTCCTCTTCATCGTCGCCCTCCACTTCCTCTTCCTCCTCCTCCAGGCCCTGGAGCCCTAGTTTGGAGTTGGACAAACTGTGGCTTGGTGGCTGCTCCTCCTCTGCCTGGTCTGATCTACAGAGGGATGAAAGTAGACAGGAAGTGTTACTGTTTCAGAAAAACAATTTTCCTCCCACACTAGTGACATTTCAGTATAAGACACAGGCATTTAGAACTCATGTAAAGGTCTATTTATCCAGTCTGAGGCGCTGCATATTCTCAAACATTATTACAAAAGCAAAAAAAAAAGTTTCTAAAATTGTGAAAGGCAAAAATAATAACTGTCTCTAGACGTTTCTGCCTCTTAGAGCAACTTTTAGCCAGCTCTCTTAGTTTCTGGAAGAACTGTATGATGTGAGCAGTCTACCTAGCCAGTCAAGGAGGCCTTAAGAAAAAAGATGTAGTACCCAGGGTTTTTCAAAGATGCATAGAGGAACTAAAAAGAGAGAATATCTGGTTCTACTGCTTTGATTTTAAAAATGTTTCTTTTTACAAATTTGCAAATTCACATTGCTGAGTGCTCTTTTTATTGTTTACCAACAATAATCCAAAAGTGAGAAGGACTTATTATTTTAGTTTGTTCTCTGAGCGCTATGTCCAGTCTTGAGCAGGGAGGCTGTTACCATTTCCCAACCATCTAAAGGCGTGACTCATCACAAGCAGAGAGAGAAACATAAATAATGTGTTGACAGCATGCATAGTCCAATTCCAGTGTCCACACAAACAACATGGGTGCTGAAAGTCTGCCTGGAGCACTTTTCAAACGGGCCACACATGATTAATTGGCCAGCTCCTCAGAAACAGAGCAGGAGATGGCCCGCTTCAGACTGGTTCCTCTACACCCTGTAATGGTGGAACATACTTTGTGTGACTGAAGGAAGACGATGGCTGATCTGCAAACAGGCTATCAGCACACCACCATTATGACCTGCCATCTGTACATTTTCCAGCCAGTATCCCAAACTCCCCCCTCCATCACCCCCAGACCACGATGTCATGGCTCATGATATCATTTCCTCTGGGACGGCAAATTTACCCTTTCCTTTTTTTGCCACACAGTGGACATTTATCAAATCAGACAGGATTACCTCTGGGAAGGGGTGCACAGGGACAGGATTGGGTCACACACAGTGGGTGGGTAAATACGGTTAGGGGGACTTTAGGGGGGAAAAAGTTCTCCTCTTTCAATCTAGATTAAATATCACCATAATCAAATTGCAGAGCTGGTTGGCGGGGGAAAAGTCCATGTCTGTGTACAGAGAAAGAAGCGTAGCTCTGACATAGGGGGCCCTGGATTTTGTCATTTAGTCTAAACACGTCAGTTGGGTGTTTGTGTTAGCGGGCTGGGGGTATGGATATATCGGTAAGGGGGAAGAGCTCCATCATCAGTGGATCTCCTAGATATGTGCCTCAACCTGAGTCCCCCTCAGGGTTCAAACTGCCAGCCACTGTAGCCCAGTCCCAGACAAGGAACTAGCTCCAAATGTAGTTTTATCCAAACCATAGAGCTCAAGCCATAGCTTGGATCCTCATTCCAGCCCTAATTATGACCTGGACTATGGTCCAGAGGAGACAAATACCTCCACTGCGCGCTGGCAATATCTGTGTACATCTAAAACCTCTAACTTTTTTGTTTGAAACTTCCCACCCTCAGAAAAGCAGTGCTGTATCAGCATCTACGACGTCCCCAGCTTGAAAACTGGTCAAACAAAGTTTTCATGTGAAAACAAAACCTACCATGGACTTCTATTTTGACTGGCTATGAAGCTGAAATTTTTTAAAAGGGGAAGAAACTATGTTGCGAGGGCGGTTAAGAGCGATTACAGATAGTCATCCATGAATGTGTGTTTGTGTTCGGCTTTTGACTTCAGTCACTCAGAGGGAGAATAAACAGTGGGCTGTCTGGTGGGAGGACAGAAAGCATAATACTTAGCCTGAATTACAGATATTAAAATGTCAGACCAGCTTGTTGTGGATGAGACTCGGTATTGATCCCAGATGGCAGAGGGGCTAAATTGCCACTGGGTCTGCTGGCCATAATGCGTGTTGACAAGAAGGAGGGGGGATGATGGAAGAAGAGACAGACAGAAAGTGAGACTACACGAAAGGAATTCACATTGAAAGAGGAAGAGATGAAGAGTATATAGAGTCAAGGAAAGAGGCAAACCACTGACTGAAAGAGAAAAACATTTCATCCTCCTTTTCTTTTCCGATACCCTCTCTTGCCTGAAAGTTTCCCACCAACTGAGCTACTAACATTGAAAGCATTTCAGGACTCAAAGCAGAAAGCTTTTTGTCCATTGGCAGTTAGGTTTAAAAATAGACCTAGCCATTTTCATAGTTTTCCAAGCAAGTTGTGTTTCTTAGAGTGCAGGAAAAAAAGACACACAGGATGATCACTCCTGCTAGAGTTACTGGTAAGCAGAGTAATTGACTAATTACAGAAGCATACAGCAGGTATAAATTGCTATTTGTCACAAAGAGAGTTTTAATAAAATGTGTGATATGGCTGAAATGTATCAAACTGGAGATGGAAAGAAAAAAAAACGTTTTGTTTTATTTTTGTAATATTTAATTAACATCCATCCATCTACCATTATCTTCCGCTAATCCGGGATCGGGTCATGTGGCCGCAAATTACAATGTAATTAGCAATGGCATTTAAAAGTTGCTGTTGCAGATTAAACGGTTCATCCTAACCTACTGTTAGTATGTGGTATGGAATTAGGACTCAACTCTGACTATTACCATACAAAATCACGCCACTAGAGATCACTGTGCACCAAGTACTAGCATGTACACTATGATGCTGTGTGCAGGGAGGGAGGGAAGGAAGAAGTAGTAAGAGCACTGTTGCTTTTAGTTGACAACATGTGTGTTTGTTCCTGCTTTTCCATACCTGTCTGGACCACATGTCATGATAAGAGAAGAAATATTTTTTTCAAAGTGAGTTAATTTCACCAGCTCTTTTTGCTTCAGAGTTAGTTTTACATTTAGATTTAGGATGAGGTTCAGGTAAGAAGTAAAGTTTGGCATGAAGAGTACAGGGTTATGCTCATGGATCAAATGTCATCACTGAAGGTCTTTGCAAAAATCACAATACAAATGTGGCCCGTGCAAGCAACTTTTCTTGTTACCTCTTATCCGTGGAGCTGGAGGCCTGGTTCATCTCACTGTTTGAAATGAAGTTGCGGATTTCTGAGAAGTACGAGTCCTCCTTCTCATCTAAAAGTGCATGATTGTCTGGCTCGGAGTTTGGGGAGGAGATGGTGGTTCCTAGGTTGGAAAGCATCCCGGACTGTTGGCTCACTGTTGGGGAAAGCGTACAAATCCATACACATGCACACCAGCCCACCACACACACACACACACACACACACACACACACACACATAAACACATCAGCGGGATTAGTTTGATGATCATCAGACATACATAATAGATGAGTTTAAGGAAATTTTTACACTGTCTTCACATTTTAATATCACATCAAAAAGCTGATTGGTTTGGTTCAAAAATGGACATGAACATATTTTGACAAACAGGATAATGTTCAGTGACGAAGTGCAGAAGACAAGCCTTGTTACATTTTGACATTTGTATTCTTGCAATTTCCTGAATGTTTTTACATAATCCTTTCCTGAAAAGTATGTAGAGGAATATCACATTTACATACTCATATTAGGCTACTGGAGACAATGTATTGCATTTTTCTTTTGCTAATTTGCTTTGATTTAAGGGTTTAAATTAAAAAAAAATTTGTGTTTAAGTTAAGGATAACGTTGGAGTGGATATAACATGAAGAAAATATAATATACTCCAAATATACTGTTTTGCCAGCGAAGCTAGTCAATTTTCCTAGTCTGTATCTTTGCAATTTACACTGAATAATTTTAGCAGATGTTATTGCCTACTCCAGTTTGACTCTAATCAAGGATACAGCAAGAAACAAAACATCTGGTCAGTCAGGCACAATGAATGGGTTTATGAATTGCCTCTTAATAACATACTCATGTCAAACAATGGCATCCCTTGGTATTTGAGAAATTTAGCTTGTATGTTGGTGATGTCACGGCTTCACTGGGAATAAGTAGCATAAGGTGGAAACCAATTGTGTTGCCTTGTTTTATTAGGGTGTCACTTTGGACATAAAACATAAAAAGGACATAAAAAGGATGTTTTTGGCAACGTTGTAGGAAAAGCAAGTGAAAATTCTTTAAATAATGGTCTTCCTACTTTAAATAATTTGCAGCACCATGCTAAACATTTATTAAGGTGAAGATTTAATATCTTCAAAATGGGTAATGCGAGCCCTTCATTATTCAGTCCAATAACATAACACAAAATACCAGGTCCCCCTCCCCCCGAATCATAGATATTGCAAACTGACCAGGAATGTTCTCATGCTCGTGCTTCTTGAGATGGCGGTCCAGGTTGGTTTGCTGACCAAAGCAGCGGTTGCACAGGTGACACTTGAAGGGTTTCTCCTTGTTATGGATGTTGCGAACGTGGCGTTGAAGATTGGATGAGATGCTGAATGAGCGGTCACAGTATTTACACCTGCCAAAGGAGAACAGGAGCATGTGAATGTGGGTTAAAAGAGCAGCAGAGTGGCTTAGTGGGCAGGGACTGCCCGTCAACCCGTCCAGACAATCCTTATGGCTGACCTTTTTTATAAAAAAATAAAAAATAATACTAGGATAAATACTTGCAAATAAACTGCCAGTTCTGAGCTACAGTCCTGCAGAGTCAGTTAAAAAAATGATATTAATTGAAACTACATAGTGGTTGCGAAGACAAAAGGTATTTTGTTAAATTCAGTTTTCATTATTAACTAATGATGTTTTCATTCTCCGATCGGATCCAGTACCTCAACTCAGGGCATCTGGCAAAACCAATTTCCAGTCTGATCCCTCTGTTGTCTTTATACCACAGGGAAGTCATGGGGATCATTCTTATTCTTAAGTACAAATAGGCCAGACATAGCTAAAAACTGTCTGTTGTAACTTAATGAATGTAACTGATACTGACACACTGAATTTTATAATGACAAAGAAACAAAATTTACGGTTGAATGGATCACTCATGTTTGGCTCTTGATACCAATACAGCATCTTTTTTAAAATAAAACAAAGATAGATTATTGGATATTTTGGCAGTAAGACAACCAGACAAAGGGAAAAATATCAACGAGAGCATCTTTGGGAGCAAAGAGCCTTTCATAAAGGTAACAGACTAGACTGAACTAGAATAGAATACCTGTAGGGTTGTTCCCCTGTGTGTGTCCGCAAGTGTCTGGTGAGGTTTGCTGAACGAGGGAAGATTTTCCCGCAGTACCTGGAGGGCAGGAAGGACAGAAAAGCAAGGAAAAATAAGTAAGTAAAGATGGTTGAGCAATGGTATCGTCACTGCAAACATTGTAACATGTAACATAATTAAGTTTTATGTATGTTAACATCTAAACAAAAACACATATACCACACTGCACCACAGGACACTTACCTGCATGCGTAACGCTCCTTGCCCTTGCGGAGGATGGCATCTGAGAGGGAAGGTGGCGGTGAGCGGAAGTTGAAGAGTGGATGAGCCGAGTGTTGCAGTGAATTGGGTGGTGCGTCTAGTTTTAGAGCACCAAAGCTCTCCAGCTTCTCTGTCATGTTCTCCATGGCTGACATCTGATAGGAAAGGAGAATAAGGAGATGCGAATCAAAAGATCACATTTTTCCCCCCAGTACAGCTGTTCAGCAATGTCATTACAGAAATTGGTTTGATTTTTAATCAAACCTTAAGAAAAGTATATACACATATATATACACATATATATACACGAGTGAGTGTGTGTGTGTGTGTGTGTGTGTGTGTGTGTGTGTTTGTGTTAAAAGAGAAGCACTAGAAACAAAGACACAATGACACAATGTCAAAAAAACAGGGAGTGAGGGAAAGAGACAGAGAGCGGAAGCTTTCAGGAAGCAGTATATCAGAGGTTAGCCTTAATGTTTGTGCTAAACGCTAGTAACCTCCATGACCTATAACACATTCACAAGTGCTCGAGTACTGTTCCTTCAGTAGCCCCATCCGTACACCCTCCCCTCCAAGGTTTAGCCAGTGCTTTGTTCTCTACCTCTTACCTTTTTCTGCCAAAGCTACTGTTGCAGGCCGTCAAACTGCCTAAATGAGGCATTCAAGAGCCACGATTGGAGCTGTACAATATAGTTTGAGATACCCCCAACTGATAGCCGCTTCCCTTCCCCCAGAAGCTTGTGAACAAAGGGGGCCAGTTATGTGGGAGTTTATTTGCCAAAAACAGCTTACATCCTTCCTTTTTTAGTGAATACGGGACGGGAGAGACACAGGGACAGACACTCCGTCTCAATGTGTTTATTCGCAGTCTGAGAACGGGTGGAGGGGGAGTGGGTGATTCCGTCATGAGACTGAATTAGTGGAGGTATTGTGTTTGTATCACCGGGAGTATCACAGCTGAGACAATCTGATACGAGACGTTTTTACATGGGAGCCTGTGAAAACATTTCATCCTGGGGCCACTGCTCAATTACGAGGTGATGCTTTCAAAAAGGCAGATCATATCATTATCATCCTATTATGAATAATACAGTGTTTTAGAGGAATATGGGTGGGTCATAAGGGTGAATGTAATTAATGTTAGCTTGTATGTCACTAATTTGTAAAGGAATAACTAAGTAATGTCATATATACAAATGCATGTTCATGTGTAAATGCATCTATCTGCATATGCACCAAATGAGTGTATTGCAAAGTCACGGTTGATAGAGGACACAGATTTCCAGGTCAGATTAAACCGTTTCCCCAACGAGAGCCCCCCATTCTCCTGGAGACAAACACAGGATGTCCTTGATGGACACGGTGCTATTATCTAGCCAGCCAGCCAGCCAGCCACAGAGAAAAAAAAACTTGGAGGGGGTTGAGTTATTAGCTGGCCTGTGGGCTCCCAGTCCACGAAACAATGCCACAACTAAGATTAGCATGGCCAAGAGAGGCAGCTTGTTACAATTCAAACGGTTATTATTCTCTCTTTTATTAATACTATCATTCCTTGTAATCAAGATTTGTAGAGGTAGGGAGGGTCTGGGGACAGTCGAACAATGTGACTGATTATCAAAGGGGCTGCGATAACAGACCGTGTCTTCTGAAATAGGTAGAAGTGACGAGGTACACAGGCGCCATTCAGTAAACAAAGGAAGAAATCATACAGAACCCTTGAGAAAATAACATCAACACTGTGGAATGATGGTGCGTAGGGCCCTATCAATTCAGGTTGCAGCAGCGTGGGAGGCAGGACTGAGGTATTTTCACATAATACATGGTTTGAAAATAATAGTCGATAACATCTGGGAATAATCAGCCTGTATGCAATATCTGGAGGTCAATTCCCCTGTTTGGTATTCCCTTGCTGTAGTTTCTGTTCACAGAACTGTTTATTGTTTCTACTTAAGATTATACCAAGTGCCTTCCTAGATCTGAAAAGTGTGTGTGTGCTGTAAGCCTACCTGTGGATGGAAGAGTGGTGGTGAGGGCCTGAGGAACTTTTCCTTCAGAGCTCCTACAGGGTCGAGTAGCTTCCTCTTCTCCACCCTGCTGGACCAACAACAAGGAAGAGGGTTACGTACCAAAGTCAGAGTTCATCTACAATCTCCAACCAAACACTAAACGTCAACCTCTACCTTCTTCAGCGTGTGAACATAAAAGCGTTGATGTTGGTCATGTGGAAATAGCAGTTTCTGGTCTAATCGGGGCTGAAATACCTGTATATGGGGTCCATGAAGAATGCTGATGGCTTGGCATAGTGCAGGGGTGGCGGCTGGTGTGGCTGTGCCTGGGGCTGCTGGTGCTGGGACATTGAGGATTGGTGCAGTAACTGGGAATGAGGGTGTGGAAACCCAGCTGGGGTTTCATCCTTGATAGAGACCCCCTTTCCAATTCCAAAGATGTGGTTTTTTCTATTTTGTGGCTCAGCTGCCACACCATTATGACCACCACGGTTCCGGCTGCCAATGCTAAGGTCCAACGGCTGTTCTTCACCACTTGATATTGCTAAAGTTCCACTACTGCTCCCAGAAGTACTGTTGGGGTTTGAGGGGTTTGTTGGGGTAGAAGGAGCTACCTTGGTGTCCTTGGGCTTTGTGGTGAGATCAAATGGTGACTCTGCTGTGGAAGCAGGAGCTCCTGGTACACCAGAAACCATCTTGTGCAGCTGCTCACGAGGTGACTTGGGCTCTGCCTTAAAGAACATGCTAGGATTGAGGGCCCCTCGATCAGCGCCGATGGGATAGAGGGAGTTGTGGAAGTTAGGCAGGAACTGGAAGGGAAACATGGAATGGTAGGGCAGTGGACCCATCTTTTTCTCCTGATGAAGACCAATCAAACCTGGACCAAAATATTTCTCAGCAATAGAGGCGATGGCTTTAATGGAATCTGTGGTGGCTGAATTGGCATTTGCAGTGGTGGGCGGGAGGGCTTGCTCATCAGGCGGAGGGAAGAAGGAGTGCTGGGATGATGCAGAAGAGAGAAAGGGACGATCAATAGCAAGGTTCCCCGAACAAGACACGGCTGATATCAACGCACTGTTTGTGTCTTCTATCTGGTGACCTTCTTGACTTGACACAGTCCCAGACGGCTTCCTTCTTTTACCACTTCGCTCACGTTCACTCTCTCCATCACTATCCAGGTCAGAACCGTCACCTGAAGCAGTACCAGTGGTGGTGTCCAAATCTGTCCCACTTGTGGTATTAACGTCTTCAAGGTCACTACAATCAGACATGTCTGCCATCTTCGATTTAGGTTTGGCTTCTCCACTAGAAGACAAATCCAGTTTGTTCTCTTTCTCTTTGTCTTCCAACTGACTCAAACTGTGGCCTCCATTGCTGTTTGTGGAGCTAACCAGGGACAGAGGAGGGGCATCTAGGGGACTCCGGGGCAGTTTCACCTCCTGACTGCTGCAACCCAGAGGGTTCTTTATCAATGAACTGGCTGGCAATAAAGGTGGTCGGGGATACAATGATGGGGGGAAGATACCTGGGAAACCATGTGGGAGGGATGGGAAGCCATGAGGTCCTGTGGAAAAGGGCAAGCCAGCGTGAGGGTGAGGTCGAGAGGGAAAGTAGTCAGTGAAGCCTAAACCTGACTGGTTTAGACCTGCAAGGTGAGGATGGTGAGACTTGGCCTTGGCCATGATGGGGCTGGAGCTCATGGGGATGCCAGGGTTGAACATCCCTGCTGGAGAGCCATAATGGTTTTTGCCCTCACAGAAGCGACGATGTTTGTTGAGGGAGGAGGTAGTGCTGAACAACTGCCCACAGTCCTTACACTTGATCTGGGTGCGGCAGTCAGCATGCATACGTTTGTGGCGGCAAAGGTTGGAGAACTGGGTGTATGATTTGTGGCACACCTCACCTGGGGGAGCAAAAAGACGCAGCCCATCAGGGCCTGGTTAAACCCATTTTAACACTGTCTCTAACTTTGTATACCAAATCAACAGCAACATATACATCTGAATGGAAACTGCAGATGAAATAGCTCTAGAAATGACTGTTTTCTATGAATTAAACCAACTACTTGCCAAAGTTTCTGATTTACTGTGTTTACACTGTATGTATTTTACTGCCCAATAATAACTCAACATGTGCAAGAAAGTTAATAAAATATATATGTATTTAATTACCTTAAAGAGAGCAAAGATAGGTCTCTGATACATAATTAAAACATATTTATCCAAACAAATTTAACTACATGTCAAAAAGTTTGTCTAGAAAAAAAAGCATAAGCGATATATTTATTATTTACAGTATATCATTAAATTAATAGCAACAGAAAACTGTGAGCTTGGTTCAAACAATGTAAAAAGGACAAAAAAGCTGGTGTACATGGAGAAGAAAGAGACTGCAGAGTGATAGAGAAGTAGATGAGGTAGAATGAAAAGAAGTGTCAAATAAATGGACTGGTAAGAATAATGCGGTATTTATCTTCCAAAGCTCTCACTTACAGATAAAAGGTTTAACACTGCTGTGGATGTGCTTATGCTGCTTGAGGCCTGACGAGGTGGCAAAGGTCTTGCCACACTCAGGACATGTGTGAGCACGTGCCCCCACGTGTTGGGAGCGGATGTGGCGTTGAAGGTTGCTGGGATCTGTGAACACCTGAAATATCAAATAAGCATATAAAAATGCAGTGTACGCCATAATTGACAATGCAAACATTTGATATTTCCCCTTTTTGTATTATATTTTGCCATTATTAGCATTGTGGAAATATAATGGAAATATACAGTTTTCATTGCTTTAATATATATACAATAAACATTCTTTCAGGATTACTAAATATATGTCCAGTACCATTATGAATGAAGACTAAAAAACTAAACCAGCAGAATTTCTGAAGCAGATGAAGCCTGTGTGTCCTGTGCACAACTTACGTGCCGGGTATGCTGTACCTTATCACAGTTTTCACACTCAAAACGCTTGCCACTGTCATGTGACATCTGGTGACGGATGAGGTTGGACTTCCAGTTGAAGGCTTTGGGGCACTGGTCACACTTGTACTCCCTCTCCTCTGTATGGACTATCATGTGTTGGCCCAGACTTAATAAGGAGAGGACAAGCTCGTGAGTGAATTAAAAAAAATCATCCAAGTCACATTTGGATTAAGTGGACTGTATATGTTGAAATGTGTTGTCTTGTACATATTTTATCACGTGTCTGTGTACCTGTACTCATTTGGGAAGATCTTCTCACAGTCTTTACACTCGTGGACGGGTTCGTCGCTGTCCTCACGTTCCTGTTTGAAGTCTTCTCTCAGTGTGTCAAAGATGGAGCCTGTACTGGAGCATGAATACTTCTGGTGCCGCCGCAGCTCGAGTGTTGAGGAGAACAGCTCATCACAGTCTTCACAGCGGTACATCTGCTCGTCTGCACATACACACGCAAAAACACACTTGTTTAGCCATCAAGCAATTGAGCTCCCTGAAATATATAATACACATCAAAATCCACCTTCAATGCGCAACGGAAACTTTTACACACTTTTGACTTGAATAATAAAACAACAATCTGTTAACAATGAAAGAAAACCTACAAAATTCCTTATTTTTGCCTGTTGTCTTAACTGCATTTTCCAGTTCCATGTTTCCTAAACAAAATATCTTTATCCTATAATCCTATAATGTGTAGTATATTATAAAAATTAAGCAGTTTTTTTACACACAAATATGTACTAAACTGTCATAAAGTCATAAAGTCATAAAGATAAAGAACAAATGTAACATTCTCCAATTATAGCTTCACAAAAACCAAATGTAGATTCTTATATTTTTTGTATCATAGGTACTAAATAGTTCCATAGGGATGTTTAATTGTGGCTACTGGATTTTAATGTATAACAATACAACTACATTTTATGGGAGTCAAGACAGAACCAACTTTGCTGTGCACATTGAAACAATTATGAAGATGCACTACCAAATATCCAATTGTAAATAAAAACTTTTAATACAACTACACAAGAACACAAATCTACCGATCTGTGTGTTAATTACAGCTAAATAGACTACCATTCAAATGGTGAAAGAAACAATCCTGCAATTGACATTCGCATAAAATAGAAATCAATTAGCAGTGAAATGTAGCCTACATTAACAAAGGTAATTGCTTGTTAAAGCAAGTGTTTGCTTGAGACTGTAGGTGTAATTGCACACAGGGGAAACAATAGGGGCCAGTCCTCCCCTTCCATGTTGATAACCTTTACAATACTTCTCACCACCAAGGTCAAATGCATAAAACTTGGGCCAGCTTTTTCAATAGCAAGTTCCTGAGTCAGACGCCAAGTTCAACAGATCAGGGGAAAGCCCAGCGGAGTTTCTCTGTGCACAGGCATACATGTGTGTATGTGTATGTGTGTGAGTGTGCATGTTTTTATGCGAACATTTTCCAAAAAGAATGAGCCACAAGAAACAGAGGTAAGCAGGGGCACAGTGGCGCCAACCCCATGGTGATTTCAGCGCCAACCTGCCATACCCTCTTTGCCATGACCCAAGTGGCCGACGCCTGAGTCGCCCCCCCAGGTGTCTCCAACACGCCATGCACGCCCATCCATCATTTCAAGCTGCGCTAAATGAGTTTATCCAAAATGACTTACAGTGCATGGCTCACCTGGTTTCTACTGCATGTGACCATTTATCCAGCTGGAACTTCTTGTACACATTAAAAGGGCATTAGTGTAGCAACATCAATGTGTCTGACCTTGGGGAGAAGGATAAATGACCTTCTGGTCAATGGCCCATTACACTGAGCTCAAATGCTAAACTAACTCCCTCTCTTTGACACCAGTGTGCACTTCCATTTCACAGACAGCAAGTGTTTTACTGTGAGAGAGTTGGGTATCATTTGCTCTGAAGATCAGACTCAACACTGAGACACTTTTTGTATGTCACCTTTAAGAGTGGACAATGTTTTTGGAAAAAAGAGGTGGTTCATACACTGTGACAATAAAATTTGGATGTGTGTGTATGTGTGTGTGTGTGTGTGTGTGTGTGTGTGTGTGTCACAAAAAAACTTTGTGACGCCTCTCGCAAAAGGGTGTTGAGAAAATATCTGAGTGGATGCCCAGGTGTGCATGTATGAGCGTTTCAGTGAGAATGCAGATAAATAAAGGTGCTTGCGTGTGTGCCTGTGTTTTTTCAGTCAGTCTGGTCTGGGTGGTGTGGGGTGGGGTGTGGTGGGGTTATAAAGGGGAGACTAATAGCTCTCTGGGAGACGAAGGGAAGCACAATTATGTGCAGTTTAGCAGCTAATCTGGGAGCATGGGTGAGGTCCCAGGGGACTCCTCAAGTCCTCTACTTCAAATTCCTTCTCCGATAAGCCAGACACAGCGAGAAGGGCTGCACTGCCAAGCTCCCACTCAGCTCTGCTACCTTTCTCTCGCTCTCTCTCTCTCTCTCTCTCTCTCTCTCTCTCTCTCCCTCTCTCTCTCTCTCTCACACACACACAGAAAGAAATAAGCTCACAAAACAGACACTCTCATCCCTACAGTTGGTGACAGTCTCACTCTTTGTCCTTCTCTCGTTCTGCTTTTCTGTCTGTCTGTCTGTCTCACTCACAAATAAAGATCTTGAAACAGTAGATGACCTGTTACACTTTTTTTGTCTGTCTTCATCCCTCTCTCACACCAACACACAAATCTGCCAAATGCTTTGGCTCTGACACACACATTCTGGCAGGTGGAGTGTCTCTCTTTTCTCTCCGTCTGCCTCCCTCTCTCTATATATTTTACATGCACACAATCACACAGAGGAATTGAACAAATCATGATGAACAAGTCTGCTCCATCTTTGAGGCACGCCTACAACATGCCAACCTGCTTCTTTTCAATAATCAAGCTCGCTTCAAGCTCCCGTTTCCTCCTGCTCCTCTGGCACAGAGATCTATGGATAAACTGCGCATCATGCAGGGGGAAAAACTGGTGAACTGCAAACCATCTCACGAACGTCTTGTTTTCCCTTCCACTATTTTATAATCAATGACAAGTAAGAGTAATCAGATTTTTTTCATCCCTGGTTCCAGAAAGACTGGAAACACAACAAAACAATGTTACCTGACAACAGCAGTTCACCACAATAAGTCCAAGATGTTTAAAGAAATACAACGGAACTACAGCCCCTTTTCCGCTTAAGTGAATTTTGAAAGAAAAGCCCAGATCGACAGTGAACAGCTGTCCAAGTTAGATTATACGATAGAACATTGGACATATTCAGTCTGACGTATAGAGGCACGGTTGAAAGTGAATCAGGTTACCCATTCAGAAGGAAGACGGGTGGGTGAGAGCACCTAAAAACATAAAGCACTTTGAAATGTGAGCCAATTTGCAGACAACAGTGTACACACAGCAAGGTGTATGGGAGCACTTAATGCACACAATCTTGCAAATATTAATGTTATAAGGACAGCAAAGATCAAACTAAAATACAAAGGCTTTTATTTAGAAGATAGATACATAGACAGATATCCAAAATTAGGCTATAGCATATATCACAAATGATGCAACAGCCAGTGTTAGGGAATATAACTGTTTTCTCTAACACATGTCTAACTAAAAATGTGGGCTAAAAGTGGATTAAATGATTAATGAAAGGCTGAGATGAGATTTCACTTATTTTTTCATATATAAATTTAATGCTTGATCACATGTGCTGCTTGTTATTCTTTTTGGAAATGAATATTAAAAGTACCACTAAGAACAAGAAAATAGGTTTGATCAACTGTTTTGGGTTGTATGTTGTTGTTTTTTTAAACTCAGGAGCTGATTCCCAGGGGCATCAAGTCACTAAACACATGGCCATCCCCGTGAGTCTCACACTATATTAGGCCACTAAAAATTCCACAAATGCCTAGGTGAATTTCTGGGGACAAACTGCAACTTTGACTTATGAATAACAAGATATAATTATTCTTTGGCCGATGTGATCAATAGAATTCCAAAATCTGGTCTCAAAGGTCCTGAGTGTTCCCATATAGGTCTTGAGGATATGGCTTCCTAATAATTTCTGTTTGATCTTGGCTTTCTGTTAAAAGACATTGATGCCCTATAATACAGAATTTCAGGCAAAGAGGCCCATTACATTGCAGCATTGTATAAACGCACAATTCAGACCAGACTAGCCTTCATTATTGGCAGGGCTATTTTAAATGACAGGTCCAAAACGGCCTTCAACCAGATGCTTTAATGCGGGATTTAATTCCATCCTGGAAATTTATGATTCGAATAATTCACATTTCTTTAGGGGGGTGATCTTGAAGGGAGAGATGGTGTCTTTTTCCCCGTCACATTAGCGAGGTTATGGAGTGTGTTGGCCGCGAAAGCAGCACAGGATGCAGGTTGGAGTTTGTTTAAAATGTGCGCTAATGACGCGCATTAATCTTACCTTGTAGGTTGGGTGCCATGGATCCCTCGGGGAAAATCCCGTCCTTCATATACACTAAAAGCTCCTCCCCTGCTTCAATGTCCCGGACAGCTTTATAATAAATCTGAGAGGGAGAAAGAGAGAGGGAGACTTTAACTTAAGGTCAAGATGGAATTAATGGACCCCCCCCCCCCTCCCCCTTCCCATATCTATTATCGCAGTTAAAGACGGGCCTAATGTTGAAATTGACAATATTAGCATAATAATATTGTAATAAAAATAAGATACACAGCAGAGTAATGAAAACATCTCTTGTTCACAAATGTTCACCATATTTCACAATTTATTTCTAGGCCCACAAATTAAAAGCCTGGTCGTCAGGGGTTATTTTAATATATGATACAACACAATGATTTGTTTCAGGCTATTCCATATTTACTTGAACTTAATGAAATAAACAAAACGAATATAAACTGTCCCGTCTTAAGAATCACTTGAAAACAAACAAAACACAGGTCCGCCTTCTCTTATAAACAATTACTCAAACATTCACACACACGTAGAAAGAAAATGTAGACGTGATCCAGACGATACAAATGCGGCTGTAATGGGTCTAAACAGTGTGAAGAGTGGTGGGTGAAACGAAAATAAACAACAAACCGCTCAGCTGCTCTCGAGCGTTTTTTGTTTTGTATTTACAGCTGCAACAATCCGGGAAATTTCGGGTCTTTATTTAGGCGACATACAACTATTCATTTGATTTTTTAAACTTGTGTGATCGGTCATAAATTACTGCTGGACTATGGGTTTTAGCTAGTAGCCTACTAAAGACAAGTAAAACTAAGAAAACCGAAATAATGGCAATATTCGAGGCCATTCTGAGCCGAGGCCTTAACCAGTCTCTATCCAACACATAGAACATCTGTGAACCAAAACAAGCTCAGCCTATAGCCTACATACACATATACACTGAAGAAAATGAATTAAACTCGCTCACAATTAACGTTTATAGGCTAATTATCAAATAAAAAAAATAGTAAATAGCTTCATGCTTTCCAATTAACCACAACGCAAACTGTCACTTCAAGCTGCATGCCGAAGCTGTGATCTCTGAACACATGGGGGCGCTCTGCACCAGTTCAACGAAGCCACCACAACAAGGAAGCCAGAGCACTCATTCATACACACACACGGAGGCATCCACGCAAACACTCATAAAGGCCAATGAAACTAACTTCCACGACTTAGTGCAGAATGTGAAAATATCACGTACTGTTTATTCTTCTTATCATTATTATTTGTAACCTATTTACAACCATCAGACTTCACACACCAGCTGCGGCAGCCTCTCTGCACTGTTTGGACCTGACCTTTCTTTTCTCCGTGAGATGGAAGAGTTGAGAAAGTTGCGCGGCGCTGCGGAGAGCCTCCAGCTGTAGTAGCACTTCAGTCCCGGTGGAGTTAGCGACACAACCCATAGTAGGACTACCGGAGAGGGAGCGGGGCGCTGGAGCGGACAGGGCCGGGGCGAGGATGTCGCGGAACGGCCCGGCGCGCTACGGACGGTCGGTGATCGTTCTCTCTGGTTGGATGAAGCCCGGCGTTCCTCCGCTGGGCTACTCTCTAATCTAGTCAGTGAGCGCGTCTTTGATGATGATGAGTCTCCCCCTTTCTCTCTTTCTGACTCTCTCTCTCTCTCATTAGTGATTCCCTATTGCCCCTTGGTGCTCTCTCGGTTACCCGTCGGCCACTCCTCCTCGTCTTATCTCCAGCCAAAAGGATTGAAGGATCTGCGGCGCAGACCCCTCCCCGCATCTCCGATCCCAGCCGCCGCTTTGGCCTCTTGATAAATCTATTATTGATATAAATAATAGATAAAGCAGCCGGACAGAGACTTGAGACACTCTATCTCCCTCGAACATGTTGCGGACCAAAACACGCACGCGCACACAAAACATAAAGATAAGCACAGACAATGTATCAGTTGCTGCTTATTGTTGTTAAAGTTTTGTGCAGAAATGCAGAAAAAAATATTTCGTTCACTTTCTTCCAGTCTGGCCCAAACATAACTGCAATTTCTTTAACCTCTGAGGTCAGGTTTGGATTAAATAGGGTCAAAATAGTAATCTGGTAAACTGTTTTGGTAAATGTTTTATTTTTGGTAAAAAAATAAAATGTCTATTTTTTATGGTTTCACCATGAAACGTTTATTTAAATAAGCTATTCATAATTTAATTATTATTAATTATTATTAATTATTTCCTCAGTTATTTTGATTTATATTTGTAGCTAATAAAACAAAGAGAATACCTTCAATACAGGACACACGCAAATGTATTGAAGAAAAACACTTCAATGAATTATCAAGAATGAACAAAGTTGCAATATTCTATTTAAATACTTCAACAATATTTATATGTAATTTACCTTGCCATCTATTTATTTTAAATCATTAACAGTAGCTTAATTTGTGAAATTAATGACACGTTGTCCTTATTATTATGGCAGGATTATAGATTAGCATATATCAGCAAAGATTAGCCCTACACACTTTTTCTTTTTAATGAATACAGCCAGCTGATAAATCAAGGAAATTTTAATTATATTCCTAATTGATATTTGTAGTTTCTGCAGCATTTTCAATCTTTATGAATCGTTGTTTGTGTGTGTGCAAGTGAGGCCCACACACTCAGACCTGTCTTGACCTCTTCCCATCTCTGTCCAGTGTTCAGAGGACAGATGCCTCATCGATCAATGCCAGCCGTAGGGCCCACAATAATCCCCCACAGTGGCCTCATATACACACACACACACACACACACTATTTATTGATGGATCCATCCTGGGGTAGAAGGGCAGATCAAACAGCATTGGAAAGGGCTCCACTCCAAAACACAAAAGATGAAGGACTGACAAGAAGGTGGACATGGTTCGTCTTCTCTTCAAACCCACATCAACTACCCACCAAACACACACACACACACACACACACACACCACCTCGGCCGTTTCTTTCAGTACATGCAACTTGGCCTTAGAACACCCCAGTTTTGGGTGATTGTTGGCATTCTAAATGAATGGAAACTATTTCATTGGGGTGGACACACGCGCACACACACACACACACACATACACACACACACACACAAACTCACACACACACACACACAAACTCACACATACTTACATACACACATGTACACAGATGCCTACACAATGCACTGGTACATCTTTTTGACACACACATTTCTCTTGTTAGGAACACTCAAAGCCAAACAGAACTTCTAAAGAAACTGTGTCCAGAGCACATTTATTAAATGCACCTGATATATGGAAACAAACATATAAAATAATACCAAATTATTACATGACCATAAATATCTAAATTATGCATGATCTTGCACACATTTGTTCATCTTACATCATTAATGACAAACAAATAAACAAATAAATTATCCACTTGCTTTTTAAAAGGTTACTGCCTGCATTTGAATTTGCCCCGTGTGCACATATTTCCATAAACTCATGCATTGTGCATGCTGATCCAAAAAAAAGGAAAGAAAAATCACTGAATAGTCTGTTAAATTATACATTTTAGCACTGAGTGGCTGTGTATATGCGCGTGTGTGGTGTTTGTAAATAAATGATAGGGTCATACCTGTGAGCCACTACGCCAAGCAACTGGTCAGGCAAACAAAAGCAAAGCCGTTTGCTGAGTACCAACAACCGCAAAACACATCAAAAAACAATCGTGCACGTGGCCTTTTCTGGGTCTGATAATTCTCCACAATTTTCGGCAGTGCCCTGATTCTTTCTTTGACATTGTGTGGCAGTGGCAGGGGGCACTGATGTGAAAATCTTAAAAGGATTAGACGGGTTGGTGTTGCCAGCCAATTGGTGCTTGTCAATCTCGGAGGCCCCTGTGTGTTCCCTCTCTTACTTGGTCCAAGCTCCCTTTCTCTCTATCGGTCAGGCTTAATGTCTGAAGCTTAAATGGACACACTAGCCTGTCCCCTCGGTGTGACAGAGTGACAGGTGGCAGATCAAGACATGAGGACAGAGAAAGGATACAAAGACAGCAAGGAACAGGCGGCTAGAGACCGAGACAGGAGGGGGAAAGAGCCATGTAGGCAGGGATTAGGAAACAAATAAGTGCAGAGTGACATGAATGTGGAAACACACAGGCAAGTCATATGGATGCATTTGGCTACTGTCATACCGGGATTGTTTTGTCTTGGTTCGTTTCCATGTGTTTGTTTTGAGCTGACAGTTTTTAATTGTCATTGCTCCTTCAAATAAATTTTTTTGTCTTGTATTTCCTAGTGCATGACTGCGAGTTATCGTAACAGTCCAAACTGAACTGAAAGTGAAATGTGTGTCAAGTAATAGCAGAGTAACACCACTGGTATTTCATTTCCAGAAACTAGGACAACAGTCAGCAAAGAAAAACAAGAAAAAAACACATCCTCTGCTGGATAAACAGAAACAGAAAAATAAGCTAATATATTGCAGTGGTACACTGTGGCACACACATTGCATGGGGTTGGGGTTAGGGCCTAGTTAAGCAGTTGGGATTTTATGGGCACTGGCTGGGCATCTTTCCAAAAGTATCCGATGCCTTACCCAGGTTTCTTTAGAGAGAGAGAGGACAGGATATAAGAAGCAAAAAGGGAGCGAGACTGCTCCTCCATAGAAGAAGGCCATGCATTGGATAATGGTTATTATGGGACTCAGGAGTGTCAGGCTATTCTTCAGCCTCTTTACATGGGTCATTTCCTAACAGCATTGGCAACTGGCCCAGCCACAGACACACAATAGAGCCATTCCTTGGTCATTACCAGCGCACACATTTTACTACCACAATGGTAAACACACACACACACACACACACACACAGACACACAGACACACACATATTCAGATAGATCAACACAGTGTCCACTCCCGCCCCTTGTCTCTTGCTGACAACATGGTGCTGTTTCTCTCATATCTTGGACCACAAATCCAACCAGGGACATCTCTGTCATGTCACTCACCTGGTCTCCAGTGAGGTGACAGGCGGCAAGGTTTTGCTCCTCAAATGACGGGGCGGAGCGGACGTATTTGAGCCAGCTGGTGCCGTCCGGGCCTGTGTCCAGTGCAAACTTGACGTTGCCCATGTCGTCCACCACCTGTTGGAGAGCAACAGGAGATATTAAAAAAGGGACCAAAAAAAAGACATTTACAACAAACAACATGCTTTCATCTACCACCTACCAAATCAGTTGGAATATTACTATAAATTACATTTTCCAAGGAGGTTTTTTAAAAAAAAAAAAAAAGCATCATTTTGAAGGTGCACATGAGGTGGCCGTGCCAGTAGTTTATTGTCAGTCAACTTTAAGACACAGAGAGGCAACATGTCAGTGGGTGTTAGGGCCACCTAACCTTGTCAATCCCGACAACAAGAAGAGGAAAGAGGGTAAGGAGGAGAAAGGAGGAGGGAGTAGACAAACTGTGGCTTCTTTCACTTTACTAAAGACTTTCTCTGGCACATATTGATCACCCTTTGTAACCCCTACACCCCCCTGAGACTCCAAGAGCGGGTTTCACGTTACCCGCTTTCACAGAGAATGAAGGAGGATGGAGGTAGAGGTGAAGGAAGAAGAGGAGGAGAAGAAGAAGAGAAGAGGGGCTTATTGTGGAGCACAAGGAGAGGGGGAAACCCAGGAAAGGGTTACAATGCTTTATGTATGTATTATAAAAATGGGACCATTTAAAAAAAAAAACTACATTATGACATTTTTGAATGACACGGAATGAGAAGGCCTTAAATTTGCTAAGAGATAGTAGAGCATTTATGAAACAGCAGAGATCGCAGCGAGACTGCAAACATTTTAAAGGCCAGAAAAGTTGCCGTCTTCTACTCCTGGCTCCTTCGAGAGCATTTGTGTGTGTTTTGGAAATTTGTGTGTGGTGGAGTACAGAAGTGCTGGGGAATCTGGGGGCGGCTCCGCTGAACCCCCTAAGCTCACCCTCCCGACCAAGTTGGGGTTGAAGCTCCGATTTCGCCCCAGCGCTGCATGTGATACTGAGCCTGTGTAAATCCTCCAGGGAGAAGTGGCCTGAGACAGAGCAACTCCTCTAATTACAACTCCCAATCAGCCCGGTCTGCGTTCAGCGCTGACCTCTAGCTTGACTCTCTGCACTCCTAATCACAGTCAAATGTCTGCTGAAGGAAATCGAGGTGTGATGGAGAAGAACCAACAAGCCGTATGACGTTTTTAGATGTGCAAAGTTCGTGAACCCCTCTAACTGGCTGCTTTTCTAAAGGCACATTCGTGTACCCCCCCCCCCCACCCCAGCTCGTAAATTGTGAATGGTCATGTTCTTGTTGTCTGGGTGAGGCCGTGCAGAAGGTGTATTTTCGTGGGTGGGGGTGCAGGTGCCAAGTTTGGTGAGTAAATATGCAATGGGCCTGGTTGGAGGTGTGGAAGAACTGGCATGTACTTGTTTGTATAAATACGGCAACCGTTTTAGGTGAATGCATGTGCGCACTGGTTGAGTTCACAGCTTGAGGTAACAGAAATGTACTTTTGTGCCAAGGTGCAAGTTTACCCTCTTCACTAAATGTACCTGCTTTAGAATAACAATGCCTGTTATTGCCTTTGCTAAAATAATCAAAACCTTGACCTATGTTTAAAAACCTTGTTTCACAAGCCTGAAAGAAAAACTGTGGCTACTGCTTATGTAAATGTATTTGCTGACTGAGAGTGGGAAAAGAGACTGTTCAAAGCAGTTCATGTTATGTATTTTCTATAATTCACACTGAGATACTCAGAAGAAAGTAATGTAACAATGTCTACTGGAAGAGCTCATAAATAAAAACTTAATCTTATCCATTCCTCACACTCCACAACTGCCTCTTCTGCTTCCAGTTTACAGTTTAAACACTCGGCTTGATCGAGTCCAGGCCTTTATTTTATGTGTGAAAACAGTCACTGAAAACTAACCAGGCATACCCCCTCCTACACACCTATGATTCCGCCCAATATCTTTTCTGCAGGCGGTGGAGTCAGAGTGCACTTGTCACGGTCTTGCCAGGGAGCTGCGACAGGTATTGTACATGTTTTATGAACACATGGAGAAAAGCTGAGATCCAGGTGGAGTCAAAGTGGGATTATTTCTTTTTTTTAGGGGGAATAGGTGTGGGAAGGGAGGTGGGGAACTGCACAGACTGACTCTCAGATGTATGAACACTGCCATGCCTACATATTGGGTATAGCAGTATGCACACATATTTTGGTTCCCCCCTTCTCCTGTACACACACCCATGGGTCTGATCATGGCCTTAATGAGCAGCAGACCCGTGTGTGTTGTGCGTTTTTGTATGCTCGTGTGTGTGTGTGTTGTCTGGGAGGCCTGCTAACACCCTGTCTCCGGGTGGAAGCCTGATTTATAAGGCTTCAAATGAGGTGCAACAGAGAAGGAGAACCAGAACAAGCCCGCGGCTGATTGTTTGTTTATTTACCTTTCTTTTTCATTCTTCCACCCTCCCTGCGTCATGGGGGGAGGAAATCATCAGCTCCACGTGCAAAAAGGGTTTCAACAAAACAAAGCAAACCAGGCTGCTTAAAGTTTGCCACTAAGGATCTAGAAAGGCTAGAAACAGAAACTGGGACACTAAAGATATCAGGAATGCTGTTTGAATATTAATGTCTAACAATAACCACCTTGCACTGACTCATTGATAAATTTGCCATGTCTTCATTTATCCACTTGTTCTCCTTAATCTGTTCATCTGGGCAGATCAACATTTCACTTCTAACCTAACTGACCAAACCAATTTACTGATCTCCTGTGTCTGAGAACCTCCTTCCTCTCCACAAGTAAAGGGTACGTCTGGTTTATTTCAAAGAGCATCAATTTTTATAGTTGAGGCGATCATTCCTATCAGTACGAATAAAATTATTTTCATCATGTTAATTGCTACAACCTGGGGATGTTAAGAATAAGTTTGACAGGGCAAGAAACACCAGCAGTCAGACAATCAACAAACAAAACCTGATGGTTAGCCAAATTTATTTGGAAGAGAAAATGAAGACAAACAGTTTTTGCCCAAACCTTCCATTCTAAACATCCATCACAGTTTAGAGATTGACTTCCTGTTTCAACTTTAACCTACAAAGCTGTTGTTGTGAGTGAACACAGTTTGCCCATACAAAGAAGGATTATTGTCCTGGATCTGATAATTGGGCTGCTTGTGTTTCTTGCCTCATCACACTACATTGTAGAAATTTCGCTGTGTTTCTAGATCTCAGTGAGCAAAATGGTATTATAACTGAACAAATGATGGCAAAACATATGAAAATAAGAGAATCGAAGTGAATTCACTTCAGTATCTCCGAATTACTAAGAATACATTTTGAGACATTTCCTTTCAGAGCTTGATCTATAGTTTTATTTGATTAAACACCATTTGAAAATGACTCACATGACAGCACACACGCACATGTACCAACACGTGCACGTATGCACAGACACAATCAGACTTCAGTGAAAGAGAAGCAGCTCTGAGTGGACAGGATGCAGAGCAAACTCCACAGGAAGCTCTGATAAGAGCACGACACTTATATCGCTCCTCACAACACAAAGGGGAACCTTTGACAGCTAGGAACCTTTAATGGATGTCTCGGCATGCCCTCTCCTCCGCCAGTTATATCTGACGGATGTGTGTGGCGTGCAGGGCTGAATTAGTAGAGGAAAGTTGCCTGCACGGGTAGACGTTGGTGACAAGGTACATATTATTTTCTGTTTGACAGAGGGCAGAAAATGGAAATGGCAGCTCAGGAGCGCAGTGGTGATTGTGATTTTGATGTGAGATGTAGATAGAAGCAGACTTACAGCATGTGAGACATAACTGCTAGGTTATTATGTGTCTCTAAGGGAGTATTTTTATGAAGCGTGATTTTAGTGCTTTGTTGCCCTGCCCTGGGTTTGGATGTGTGAACACACCCTAGTTTGCATGTATTTGACTATGAGCCTGTGATAGAGAGGAGAGTAGTTGTTTTTATACTATTCAATATTTTTGTTGTTTCAAAACTGACTGATGTTTTACTTGGCAGGAAATAGACAAAGGTTTGTTTTTGTTTTTTGTAATACATGCTTTAGCATAATGACAAAATATTGTTTAGCCTTTTTCACATCAGAGGGTATCAAGACAAGCAAAAGTCACGACCCTTCATCAAGGTAAAAATCTACCACACACATCTTTTTTGGATTCAGGTAGTCAAGAGATTATCACACAAAGACACATAGAGAAGGAGACTCTTGACCAATAAAAGTTTGCTGAAGAATTCTCTGCATTGAATGTTTTTTCTGCATGTGGACAGCACTTTGAATATGTAGAGATGCCTAACCCTCCCCTGGTCCCCCCACTCATGTCCTGGGAAAGTGGCTGACAGATAAAAAAAGGTTGTTTAAAAGAGGAAGAGCAACAAATAAGCGGCTGACTGCCTTTCAATATGGATCTTGCTTTTTATCTATTTAGATAATGAATATGTGAAACTGTAGAGAAAGACAAGCAGAGAGAGACAAGGAGTAAAAAGAGGGGGGTGCACTTCTCCTTGAAGCAGCTAGGGGGCAGCCTAGAATGAAATCTCTCCAGGTATAATAGCAGATGTTGAAATTAAACTTCCCTCTCCTCTCTGCAGCTCTACTGACATACATATACAAAAACGGAATATAAAAATGGTAGAGCGAGTAAGAATTACAAGCAAATACACACACACACACACACTCAGATTTACTCCAGCGTGAGGGCCAGTCATGGAAACAGAGCAGTGACAGTGAAAGATTGAGTGGCTGTGAAGTGGGCTGCGGAGCTGGTTGTTAGAGGTGTTGCAAATTAAGGTGCAGGACGTCTAACAAGAAATAAAGAAGTGTGTGTGAGAGTGTGTATCCTTTCTGGAGAAGGGTCTGTTTCCATTTGGGAGGCCCCTTAACATGCACGCACACACACACAAACACACAGACGGACTAATAAAGCGGCTGACAGAGTACAGATCCCCACAGCCTTCGATGTGTTTGTGCACATTTATGTGTGTGTGTGTGTGTGTGTGTGTGTGTGTGTGTGTGTGTGTGTGTGTTTGTGTGCATGCTCCCGTGTGTGATGGATGGGGGCCTGCAGAGA